AAAAGCTCAAGATGCCAAGACATGCAACATTTGCGGGTCTCACAGGCATCTTACGGATTTCTGCCCAAAGCTCCAAGATGAATACCTTGAACAAATTGTTGATGTTGGTTACGAAAGGGATGTACCTCACATGAGGTATGATCCGTTCTCCAACTCTAACATGTCTACGGAGGATATGGTCCGGGCTATTGCTACCAACATGACCACCATGCAGAACAACATGGTGCAATTCCAATATGAGACCAAGTCTAGCATTTCAAACTTGGAAACTCAAATGATTCAAATAGCCGGAGCCGTGAGTAGACTTGAAGCAAGAGATTCGGAAAAACTTCCTTCTCAAATAGAATGTGATCCTAAACAGCAAACTTTTGCAATCACATTGACAAATGAAAAGGAAATGCAAAAGGAGATCCAAAATCCAGAAGAAGTAGAAGAAGAAAAAGACACGGAGCTCCAACTGGTCCAAGAAGAGGATAAGCCGAGCTTCAAATTTGAATTTTTGTCATTGTCATCCTTTGAGGTATCTCCATCATCTCTTGAAGCTTTAAGAGAAACTCGTAAACTTGAAAAGGACAATGACATTTCCGAAATCTTCTTCAAAATTGAGGGATCGAAAAACTTTTCATTGACCATGCTAAACGATAATTTCTTCCCCTTCCTCCCACCACATGAATCAATGAAAATCTGGATATTTGATCCTGGAAAGATTTCCAAAGTGAAGAATCGAGAAATTGAGCATTCCTATGGAAGTCCTAGGAGTGAAAGTGTGAAGAAGATAAATTATCACGATCCGAGTTTGAACGATTGAACACAATGACGGCGTCGTGCCGCGACGTTAAACGAGGCGCTTCTTGGGAGGCAACCCATGCAAGGTATGTTTACTTATTTTATTTTATTTTTGCACTTTTCAAAAAAAAAAAATTTGTATCACCCCATTCGAACCCAACACCCCAAACCCCCCATAGTTACAATTTCACACTTTCATATCTTCTTCATAAATCCACCAAATCAACAAACTAAACTCATATTCTTCTTATCCTCCCCACAATTTTCATTTCTATACCAACAAAACCCACCAAATAATCCAAAATCCGAATTCCCTAACTCCACCTACACCAAGTCCGAATTCTCCTTTTCTATGACGTCTTGAAGATGAGCACTAGGGACAGTGCTTTGACTAGCTTGGGGAGAGAGTTTTATGGAATACTCACTCTCATACTCCTTATTCTTGTTTAAAAAAAAGCAAAAAAAAAAAAAAAACATAAAAAAAGCTAGTTAGGTTGAAAACCCAAATGGGCAATCTAAGCAATAAAAGCAAAAAAAAAAATTGAGTGAGTAGGGGAGAAAGAAAAAAAATGAGAGGCTAGGATAAATTAAAAAAAAAAAAAGATCCTAGGCAAAATGAGAGAAATGAGAGAAATTATTTTTACAGGGATGTGGTGATACAAGGATGAAGAGGAACATGGAAGGCATAGAAGACAAGTAAACCCAATATCATGAAGTGTGTAGTGCATAAGTGGAATCATTTCACTTTGTAAAACACATTTTAAACATTACTTGGTTGTCTTTTGCTTGTTCATGATTGTTTAAAGTGTTGATGAAACATTGACTTTACTCGAGGACGAGTAAAGAAACTAAGCATGGGGGAGTTGATAGAGTTGTATTTTTATCATGTATTATTTCTATTTTAACTAGTTTTATTTGTTGTTGTTTGGAAAATTACACACTTTTGGTGTAATTAGTTAATTTTCTTAGATAGATGTAATTTGTTTAGATTAGGATTATTCTGAGCTTAAAACAGGTCAAGATCATCCAAAAGATCAAGTTTGGACCCCAAAAGATCAAGGAAAGTGCAAGGGGACAAGATCAAAAGAAGATTGAAAAAATATTTCATATACCCGGTCGGGTATAGGCAATACCCGATCGGGTATTGAGTTGATTCGGGTGTCAAAATCAGAATCTGGAGAGATTTGGAGAGACAAAAAAACGTGCAGGATTTTGAAGATTTGGCTCATACCCGATCGGGTATGCCTTCATACCCGATAGGGTATGTCTAGAAAAGTGATTTTCCGGGAAACTGCCTAAAATACCCGATCGAGTACCCTATATACCCGGTCGGGTACACCACCCTGCTACCTCCAAACACCTATAAATACACCCCTTTTCCTTCACAATAAGACCAACTCCTTCTTCCATACTCTTAAGCTCAGTTTAGAATAGTATTTCTTTTATATTTTTATAGTATGTTTAGTCTCCAAATGAGGAACTAAACTCTTCCATCTTGGTTTTGCTACTTTGAAGCTTAATGAATTTGTAAGTTGTGAGTTATTCTCTTTAATCTTCTTCCTTGAATATTAATTCTTCCTTTAAATACTATTTCTATATCAATGTTGGGGAGTGTTACTAAGATGACAATTAGTTAACATCTTGACATTAGTTATAGTAATAATTATTTCTTCCTCTACGTTAATATTGGGGAGTGTTACTAAGATGACAATTAGTTAACATCTTGATATTAACTATAGTAGGATTCATCTTCTTTAATATTCTTTCTTGAGTATTAATTAATTCCTATTCATATTTCATATTAATATTTTGAACATTACTTAAAGGATTAACTAGTTTTGTTTCATATATTAATTAATACTAGAATCGGTCGATTAATACGCTTGTTATTAATTCGGTCCTTTCATGGTAGTAAACTTGGATTATTAATGCATGCATCTCATGGTTAATAATCTAAGGGGAATTAATTATATTGATTAAACCAATAAACCGCTTGTGTTGAGGTTATCAATCTCAATCGTTTTCATCTTAAGTTTATTGCTACTATCAAGTTAATATACGGCGCTTGTTCTATATTGACTCGATAGTAAGTTTTATTAATGAACGCTTCTCGTTATTAATAACTACCCTCGATGAACTGGATATACTCCTCGATTGAGTATTCGAGAGGAAGATAGTTAAAGATATAACCGGGATCGACGAACATTTCATTAAGTGGATAAAAGCAAAGCCAAGTCTTCTTCTCATTAATTAAACTCATTTAAGTCATTTATCTTAGTGTTAATTAAATCAAATCAAATCTAAAAACCCCCCTTTGTTACTTGTTAATTAAAAGGAGAAATATTCCTTTCCCTGTGGATACGAACCTTACTTCGCTATACTACGTATTAGTGTCGTATTGATTATTATTTTGAGTGCACACCACGACAAAGTGCACGTCAGTATGTTCGGGTATGTATCAGTGAACTCTGATACTCACCTCACATATATGCAAACTTCGAATGGTGACTTTCCATTCGGCAATAATATCAACGAGATGCCATCCCGTAATAAATGAACATTCCTATATGCAAATTCTGTTAGATTCACTACTAGAAAAAGGACCTTTAACAATGAAAATTGTTGTCGTTATAGGCTCAAAAGTTCGTCATTAAAGCTTTTAACGACCATTTTTTTCGTCTTCAAGTGGTTCTTATTGCCTCCGTCATTATTGGTTTTAACGACCAAGTTCGTCGTTAATAATTAACGACAACACATGATGTCGTCGTTACTTATTAACGACAAACTTCGTCGTTAAAAATTAACGACGACACATGATATCATCGTTACTTATTAATGACGAGTAACTCACTCATCGTTATTTTTATACGACAATATATTTAACGGTCGTTATTTCTATACATTTTTCTAGCATAATTAATTATCCAATAATGACAACGTTTGCAAATTGTATTTAACTAAATTGAAAAAATAAAGTTATCAAAACACAAATTTTATTGATCACAAATTCAATAGTCATCATCTAAATCAACTATTCATTGATACATATTACAATCTCACAAATTTAATTATACAACACTTTTGTTCTTCAACTATTACAAAAATACAAATTCAAATATTTTTCAAAAAGAAAACATGATGATTGATGGTTGATCAGTACTCAGCCCAGCTTCAAATACCTGGAAATACAAGACAAAATTGAATTAGTTAAGTTTTATAATGAAAAAAGCCATTTAATATAAGTAAAACAAAGCATATACTAACTTAAGTTTATGTTACAATCAATTGGTTGTTTTGTACAACAGAAAAGAATGAAAGAAAGTGCACTGAGACTATTACTTTAAGGACTTTGAACTCCATTTTTTTCCTCTAATGGTTGTCATCACGGGGAGGGGGGATCCTTGTTAGCTAAGAAATGAGCACTTGAATACTAGTGAATTTCATAACAGAAAAAGGGAAACAACCAACACACCCTTTCTTATAATTCATAGTTTTATTGTGTAATAGACATTGGCATGAATGATAGGGATGAAGCTCTGTAGCTATACATCATCAAAGCGAGTTTGAGATTAAAGGTTTTATCTGCAAAATAAATGATTAGGATCGATTAGAGAATATTTTAATCTAAAGAACAAAATGGTACAGTTTAATATATAAATAGTTTATATGATGCCTGTTTAAAGATTGTAGACTTCCCTGAATCTTCAGTACCTTTTTAAACAAGGTTAATCAGTGTAACTGCAAGAAGCACTTAAATAATGGTGTACATAGTGGTTTCAGAAACTGTTGGTAAAGATATTGACATTTGGCAAAATAGAAATTAACACAACCATCAAAACAAATATCAAAGTGCATGTAATATTATTCTGTAGTGGAGAACGTTTGAACTAGTTCCACTAAAAGAAACTCTTTCTCATGAGTATATAAATGGGAGATAAAAAATAAGAGTTCAATGGTTGCATCATACTTGAGGTCCTAAACTCAAGAAACTAGAGCTAAACACATAAACCATCGTCATATTATCAACTAGAAAGAACATAAATGTATTCACCAGGAACATGTCACAGAGAACGAAATATATGTTGGGTTTTTTCTTTGTTTTTGACCCATGAGGAAAGCCCAAGTTTTGAGCCCATTAAAAGTCTTCTTTGACTTTCTTTTTTGGGAGCTAATAATAAAATATGGGTTAGCTACTATCTCAATATATGAGGACAGAAAGAGAGCAGCAGATAAGAGAGAACAAGTCACAAAACATGAGCTGAAATGCTCATCCCGTTTTTCAGCAGGCAGCAGCAGAAAAATTCTGTTTCCCGGATATTGAACCGTTGGATCGTAGTGATTTTTGGACAGCAGCTTCACAGAATCTGGGCCAACATTCTGGACGGTGGAGATCGGGTGTTGAGGTCCGGAGGTCGGGTTTCGTTGGTCTGGACAGTAGCTATTTTTCTGGTGATATTTTTCTTATCTTGGCTCTATTTGATTCCATACACCTTGATGTGCTTACTTCCAAGGATATGATGATTTTGTATGCCTCTAGTATTATCTAGAGAAGACTTTGTACTGATCCTTTGATGATGATAGTGGATTTAAGCGGCCAAAATGGTCCCGTGGTTTTTCCCTAGTTAACGGGTTTTCCACGCTAAAATTCCGGTGTTTGTGTGTGGTGTGTGCTTACTGTTTTAGCTGAATATATTGGTGTGTGGCAGAAATATTGTGTGTGTTCTAATTGCATTAAGAACACCCTATTTATTTGCATCCTCAAAGGTTCATTCAAGTTGGGGAAAGTTTAGCCAAACGGAGATTAATTCCGCATTTTATTAGTTCCGTTTGTGGCTGTTTTTCCCATCAAATTGGTATCAGAGCCGAGTTCTTCTGTATTGGGTTAAACTTGTTTGAATGATGGAAGCAAACACAAGTAGGATGATCAATTTGAATGGTTCTAATTATCATGTTTGGAAAGGCAAAATGGAAGACCTACTTTATGTGAAGGATTATTATTTGCCTGTGTTTACTACTGATAAATCTGAGAGTAAAACAGATGCAGAGTGGAATATTTTGCATAGACAGGTTTGTGGGTATATTCGCCAATGGGTTGATGATAATGTTTTGAACCATATTAGCGGGGAAACTCATGCTCGCAGTTTGTGGAACAAGCTTGAACAGTTGTATGCTCGAAAGACCGGGAACACTAAATTGTTCTTAATAAAACAGATGATGAGCTTGAAATACCATGATGGAACTCCTGTCACTGATCATTTGAATTCTTTTCAGGGAATCATAAATCAACTTGCAGGAATGGGTATCAAGTTTGAAGATGAGATACAAGGCTTGTGGCTCCTTGGCACTTTACCGGACTCATGGGAGACTTTTAGGACATCATTGTCCAACTCTGCACCAGATGGTATTATCACCATGGAATTAGCTAAAGGCAGTGTTTTAAATGAAGAGATGAGAAGAAAGTCACAAGGTTCCTCTTCACATTCTGATGTCTTAGTTACAGAAAGCAGGGGGAGAAGTCAGAGTAGAGGTCCAGGTAACAAAGGGAAGCATCGAAGTAAATCCAAAGGAAAGTTTGCTGATTTTGAGTGCTATCATTGTGGTAGAAAAGGGCACACAATACGATTCTGCAGGCAATTGAAAAAGGAGAAGAAGAAGAAGAAGAGCGATTACAACAATCAAAAGAACCATAAGAAAGATGAGGGTGGTAATGGCAATGCTGAAGTTAACACTGCTACCGATGAGTTCCTGATTTGTTCTGATCTTGATATGGTCAACATTACACATGATGATTCCAGTTGGGTTGTTGATAATGGTGCTACGTGTCATGTAACATCACAGAGGGATTTTTATTCATCTTACACTCCAGGTAACTTTGGTAATGTTAGGATGGGTAATAATGGACTATCAAAGATTGCAGGCATCGGAGATATTTGTTTGAAGTTTGACACTGGGATAGAGTTGGTTTTACATAATGTAAAACATGTTCCAGATATGAGACTTAATTTGATCTCCGCAGGCTTACTTGATGATGATGGTTACAGCAACAACTTTGGTAATGGAATATGGAAACTCACTCGTGGTTCTTTGATCGTGGCTAGAGGTAAAAGATGCTCAAAGTTGTACATGACACATCCGAAGATCTTCAAGGATAGGGTCAATGCTGTGGTGAACACTGACATGACTGATTTATGGCATAAGAGACTTGGTCACATGAGTGAAAAAGGGATGTCTCTTTTGTTGAAGAGAAATGTGTTACCGGGTGTGCATGATATTCATCTAAAGAAGTGTTCTCACTGTTTGGCAGGTAAACAGAACAGGGTTTCCTTTAAGAGCCATCCTCTTTCCAGGAAGGAGAGTATACTTGATTTGGTGCATTCTGATGTTTGTGGTCCTATGAAGACTAGGACACTTGGTGGTTGCTCCTACTTTGTCACATTCATTGATGATCACTCCAGAAAGGTATGGGTTTATACCTTGAAATCTAAAGATCAAGTATTTGAGGTGTTTAAGCAGTTTCATGCCTCGGTTGAGAGACAGACTGGAAAGAAGCTCAAGTGTATTCGGACAGATAATGGAGGGGAATACATTGGCCCCTTTGATGCTTATTGTAGAGACCATGGTATTCGACATCAAAAGAGTCCTCCCAAGACACCGCAGTTGAACGGATTAGCAGAGCGGATGAACAGAACTTTGATGGAGCGTGTCAGATGTTTGTTGTCACATGCAGGGCTGCCAAATTCATTCTGGGGAGAAGCTTTGAATACAGCGGTACATGTTATTAATCTAACTCCTTGTGTTCCTTTGTCTTTTGATGTACCTGACAGGGTTTGGAGTGGCAAAGATGTTGTAACACTTGAGATTTAATATAAACGGATTAATAGTACTACTCATACCAACAGAGGTGCATCTCCTTTTAAGGGAGCTCATCACCCAAGAACTCCAAAGTTAAGCGTGCTTGCACGGGATTAGTCTTGGGATGGGTGACCCCCTGGGAAGTTTCTCAGGGCGCGCATGAGTGAGGATGAAAGATCAAAGCTTGATGTGAAGTCCAAACCATGTGTTTTCTTGGGTTATGGCCAAGATGAGTTTGGTTACAGATTATATGATCCAGTCCACAAGAAACTTATTCGAAGCCGAGATGTTGTGTTTGTGGAAGATCAGACCTTGAAAGATGCTGAGAAGAAAGATACAGTTCCTCAACATAATGATGATGTTACTGATTTGGATCCAGTGCCTCCTCAGCATGTAGAATCACCTCTTGATAATGATGTTCAGAATGATGAACAACATGATACTGATGCTCCAGAACAGCCAGAGGTGGATGAAGAATTTCATTCAGAGATACCAGTACTAGACGTGCCACCATTTGTCCCACTTAGGCGGTCTACAAGAGATCGTCATCCTTCCACCCGTTTTTCAGCTAATGAGTATGTCTTACTCACTGATGGGGGAGAGCCTGAGTGTTATGCAGAGGCCATGGAAGATGAGCACAAAAGGGAGTGGGTTGAAGCCATGCAAGATGAGATGAATTCCTTACATGAGAATAATACATTTGAGTTGGTGAAGTTGCCTAAAGGCAAGAGAGCTTTGAAGAACAAGTGGGTCTACAAAGTGAAGACTGAAGAGCACACCTCACAACCTAGGTACAAGGCTAGATTGGTGGTCAAAGGGTTCAGTCAAAGAAAGGGTATTGATTTTGATGAGATTTTCTCTCCGGTCGTGAAGATGGGATCTATTCGTGTTGTTCTGGGTTTGGCAGCCAGCCTTGATCTTGAGGTTGAACAGATGGATGTCAAAACAGCTTTCCTTCACGGTGACTTGGATAAAGAAATCTACATGGAGCAACCTGAAGGGTTTCAGGTTAAGGGAAAAGAAGGCTATGTGTGTAGACTTCAAAAGAGTCTTTATGGGTTGAAGCAAGCACCAAGATAGTGGTACAAGAAGTTTGAGTCAGTTATGGGGGAGCAAAATTACCGAAAGACAACTTCAGACCATTGTGTTTTCTTCCAGAGGTTTGGTGATGATGATTTCATCATTTTATTGTTATATGTTGATGACATGTTAATTGTTGGCAAGAATGCAGAAAGAATTACTCAGCTGAAGATGCAATTGAGCAAGTCTTTTGCTATGAAAGACTTGGGGCCAGCAAAACAGATTCTTGGCATTCGAACGGTGGAGATCGGGTGTTGAGGTCCGGAGGTCGGGTTTCGTTGGTCTGGACAGTAGCTATTTTTCTGGTGATATTTTTCTTATCTTGGCTCTATTTGATTCCATACACCTTGATGTGCTTACTTCCAAGGATATGATGATTTTGTATGCCTCTAGTATTATCTAGAGAAGACTTTGTACTGATCCTTTGATGATGATAGTGGATTTAAGCGGCCAAAATGGTCCCGTGGTTTTTCCCTAGTTAACGGGTTTTCCACGCTAAAATTCCGGTGTTTGTGTGTGGTGTGTGCTTACTGTTTTAGCTGAATATATTGGTGTGTGGCAGAAATATTGTGTGTGTTCTAATTGCATTAAGAACACCCTATTTATTTGCATCCTCAAAGGTTCATTCAAGTTGGGGAAAGTTTAGCCAAACGGAGATTAATTCCGCATTTTATTAGTTCCGTTTGTGGCTGTTTTTCCCATCAATATAGATGATATTATCTATCATGTTGATCTCACCAAGCAGAAGAAGCTTTTGAATTTGCTTCTCAGCCTCAGCCTCTTGTTCAATCCTCCTTTCAATCTTTGCCATGGCCGGTCCTAGGGGGAGGGCAGCAGGGGCGACCGCCCTAGGCCCGAAAAAAAGTAGAAAGAAAATTAGGCCCAAGTTTTTTTCGTTATATGTAGTAGCTAAGCTTCTTTTTTGTTTATAATTTCAATTAATTAATTAGGCCTAATGTGTAACTTTTGTTGACAATTTGAGAATTTTAAATTAAAACATAAGTAAAAAGTTTTGAACAAAGCTAGACAAGTTTTTAATAAGAATATAAATTTGGTTTTGATTTTTAAATAGAGTTGGTTGTAAGTCCACACATTTGTTGTTGAATCAATAAAAGCAAACCTCTTCACATCTTTTTAGCCTTTCAGATTTTTTATTCTTTTAATTACAAAATTGCCAATTTTTATTATTTTCTAGGTAGTCAATGAGATCATCCGTAGAATGATGCCATATTACTAAATTACACAATATTTAATCTACCCACAATGAAATTGCCCGAGTTATATGGACTTGTTATAATCAAGTATATATTAACCGACTTTGTTTAAGCATATATCATTCGTAAATCATGTGAATAATCTCAGAATATGAGTAAAAAAACCTACAGTATATCCCAATATACTAGTTAATCTTGTCTACAAATGACTTTTCCCATACATTGTCTAATTGAGTATTATTAGTTTCTACAACATAATTACCCTGGTATATTACTTAAATCATTTTAGGCTTATGAAGAAATTGGCCCTATAATTTTGATTACGATGACAATCCGACTATATTCATAGTAAACTTTGATGGGTTATAGATGTGGGTAGTCTAATTTTGTAAGATCAATCAAATTTTCTACTTAGATTTGGACTAATACATTAACAATTATAATTTAATTCTGAATTTTAGGTCGTGAACACATGGACTGGTAATCTTAGTAACATATGGTGATTGACTATAATTGGCTTATATCATTGAGTTGAAACCCTTTCATATTGGACATTCCAATAGTCTACTGTGGTATTTAACCCCATTGTACCAAATGGAATACCAATCATCCTACATGGGTAATGAAAGCCGCCTATGGGTAATATACCGGTGTGTTGTTACTAAGAATTTGACTTATATTGGAATACGATGTGCATAATTTAGTCACTAGTAAATGTTTGATAAGTACAATGGATCATGTCTTAAATAAGGTGTATATGTTGTCTAGTGAAAAACATAGGTGGATGTAAGACTGATAACCATTTCGATAGACCATAGTGGGATCGAGTTACTATCCCATGATGATTTCAATTATAAAACATTTAAATATACTGAATCTTAAACATCTGTATACTTAAAGATTTTCCAAATGAAGTGACTAATGATTTTGAACGATTTTGATTTAACACTCGGTATAACGATCCACAATTGATAAGTCAAGGAGTCATAATATGATAGTGACTCAGCGACTTGTATCATAGTTAAATTACACTATCAAAATAGTTTAATCCGGCTGATCGTTATCCATGTAAATATTTGCTATCGACAAGGATGACATACAAGTCTCTCGAATGTATACTAATTATTCCATGATTTGTGTCCGGTACAAATATAGCCATCTTCTGACACCCATGTTATTCCATTGGATACATAGTCAATATGTTAATAGCCATTTAACCCATACGATATCGTATTCAAAATTATGTACCACTATACATAATTAGTAGCTATCATACGAAAGGTAAGCCTGAAAACAATGAAGACTTGTATGTTTTTTTCTATTCATAATATGGACTTGAGTCGTGAACCCACGTGATCAGGTGAGTCGGTTGACTGTTGCAACCGACTCACGACTCGGTAATAAAGAGAATGAATAATGAGCACTACTAGAAAAAGGGGGTTTAACAATGAAAAATATCGTCGTTATAAGCCCAAAAGTTGGTCGTTAAAGTATTTAACGACCACTTTTTTTTTGTCGTCAAGTGGTCGTTACAGGCTCCGTCGTTATTGGTTTTAACAACAAAGTTCATCGTTATTGGTTTTAACGACAAAGTTCGTCGTTATAAATTAACGACGACATGTGATATCGTCGTTACTTATTAACGACAACAAACTCGGTCGTCGTTACATAATAACGACATAATTATCCATTGTTATTTAATAACGACAAAACATTTAATTGTCGTTATTATTTATACAATTGTTGAGACCATTACTTATTCACTAGCGTTTTAATAATAACAACCACATCCCAAACAAATACCTTTAAAGAATTATATATTCAATTATATAAATTATAAAAAACTACTACAAAGTAATTTGAAAACAAATTTCATTAATTACAATGAGTGTATTTTGAAGCATCAACTCATCAAGCATACATAAATATAAGAAAACTCCGCTCTAATGAGCTTTTATTCTGGAACAAATAAAAAGTAGGCTAGTATAACGATTTTACAATAGCCTTCAATTCTATTAACCCTGGAGGCTTCTTTCTTGTGATCCGATCATCAAAGGCCTCCAAAAGCGATCAAAATGTATCATGATGACGCATATTAGTTTTTGGCACCAATTCAAGCTACTATGATTTTGTTCAGAGAGACTCTCAAGAGGATGCATAAGGCTGAACAGCCTGAACTCCGGTACAAATTAAATCTGCACTCATTTATGCCTTTTTTGTGGATTGACTTTTCTCACATTATGCCAGACCAGTTTCTTTAACTAGTTTCTTCAACTGCAAGATGATTAATCACTTCTTCTGTGAGTACAATAAGTTTAGGATCAATGAGAGAGCTTGTTTTGTCTGTTGGCACTAATTTGTTTTTTTCGGAGTTGAGTATGTGACGATTCAATAATGGATTGAGTTGCCCCTTGACCATTCTGTTTCTGTCGGCCATCTGCAAAATCAGTTAAACTCTCAAGCATTGCAAATCTACTAGTCTTAATCCTTGGCATACAAGTAGATTAATACAAAGAAACACTAGACATACTTTAAAATGTGTTTTAATTAAAAGGATAGGCAAAAAAAGTCAGGAACAATGCCTTCGAACCGAACTAGCCAGAATCTAAAAACCGGTCAAAACCTAAACCTTTGTCATGAATTGCAGTAACCTGCAATAAAAGCATCAGCCACAAACTAACATATAATAAACTGTGTGGCTAACATGTAAAAAACTGCAGTATCTTGAAAACCCAGCTGTCCAAAATCATGCACTCATTTAAAAAAAAGCAAGCATGCATTTCCCTAAAAATCAATAGTTACTTGTAACCTGCAATGACAGAAATACATGCAATACCTAAGAGCATACTCATGTAGCATAAAACTAGCAATCCCCAAAGATTCATTTATTCAATACATATTTGTTGTAACTTATCTTAGTGGTTATTGTTAATAACAAAAGTTTACAATTCAGAATTCAAGTTACTACATTTAGAATTTAGCATTTCAATTCAAAACTGTGAATTATAAATGATAGTTGCATATTGTTACTTCATTAAAATGATTAATCAACACAAAGAAGAAATTGAAAAGTTTTGTGAAGACCACAAAGCATAAATAAAGAAGTGGGATAAAATTACCTCAAAAATTGGAAAGTGATGGATCTTTTCCCTTGCTCTCTCAAATTTCATCCTACAAAACGATACTTCTTGCTCAGGTTAACAGGAAATCAAAACTGACGAAGTAAAGATGTAAAGCAAGAAGTAAAGACGGTTAACAATAAATCAAAACTCACGAACAAACCGATACTTCTTGCTTTACTACTTACTGACTTCTTTTATTCTTTTTGTCCAAGTTTTCTTATGTCTACTTGTTCAGTAGGAGAAAAGAAAACAACTAATAAGTTCCAAAAACTTACCATTTGGATCTTGTTGAGCTCTTAGATGCAACTGAATCACATCATCACAAACATGTCCAAAGTCTTTCTTCCTTTCCTTTTTTCAATCGAGCTACTCTTCTGAGAAGTAAATGTGCAGTCACCTTCAATATGAAATTTGTAAACTTAAATTCACCGCTAAAAGAAAAAACAGGGAAAAAAACAATTGTTGACAGCATACCTTAACCATTTGTTTATCTTACACAATTCTGATTTAACTCTACTAATTCTCTGTAACAACCCTTCTGGAGACAGAGAAAGTATTAACAACCTTAGGAAAAGAATTTTTTCCCTAATAGTTTTTCATGTGAACATCCCTCCTCACGATCCTGCCATTTGCTAGGCTTAAATCTTATCCTTTACTTGGAGACTGCACTATACCAGCATGGCTAAAATGCCATTTTCTTATAACTGATATGATACCTAAGACATTTGAAAAAGAAAACACACATATCATATCATTGATAAATAATACAATTGAGCATGAATGACAATTAACACAAATATGGAACTCATATAAGTTTAAGTTTTAAAAAATCAAATATGCATATAGGTTGTTGAAGAGATGAGTAAAGGATATTGTTAATTGAATCATAAAATAATAAATCAGTTGAAATCAAGACTATTCTTTTTCACTTTCAAGGTCGGAGCTTTATTTTCTATGACTTCTTGAATTACAGATTACACATCACAATGCTGAACAGTTATGTATGCGCTTTGGATATTCACTACTTTATCTCTTCTGGAACAACCACTTCATACAGCTAATGCATGACTGAAATTTCATGGCTTATTAAAACACCCGTTGTTAAGATCTCCATTATTCCACTCTAATCCCCCAGAGATAATTCAGAGTCAAATGAAGAGAACCCACATTTTGGAATTGGTAATGCAACGAAACTGATAAATTTCAGTAGTTACGGAAAATTAAATTTGCATTTTTAATAAAAGATTCTGGTTTCTTGCAGGAGAATTTATGGGAATGAACGATAGTAGGTTTAAGAACCTTAAACTCAG